ATGCATGTTTTGCCCAAGTTTGTATATTGTGTTCTCTCTGATAGTTTGTTGTATGTATCTTTAAAAGGCCATGCATTAACTTGTTTTCCCCATTCCTATGAGTATTGGGTTAATTGACTCAAGTGCTGGCATATTTTTGGTGTCCCTGAGGTAAGGGCTGTTAATTAATTAATGCGACAGCTAGGCCAGTAAGCAAAACCTCACTGTGTGGTTATTTTTATAGTGGAAATTCCTTTCAAATTGTATGAACAACCTGACTGGCTCAGTTTTCAGATCTCATCAGAACAAGGCAAGCTCTCAGTTACACCGGGAAGATATTGTATGGCTATAAATACTAACTGGATTGATTGATTGATTGATACTTTATTATCTTTCCCCATAGAGGCTTTTCAAAGACAATTACCTAATTACATGCAGAATAACTAATTTATAATAACTATATAATATTAATAATACAATTACAAGCCTATGCTATATGCGTAAGAACCTAGTTGCTTAAAAACTCATGCAATAACTTCGTCTTCAAACGACGTTTAAAAGAATCAACTGATTCACAAAGGTTTAAAGAAGAGTCTAAAGAATTCCATAGACTAACAATCTTGTAATAAAATGTCCGTTGACCTGTTGCCGTTTTAAATAACGGAATATTAAGTTGTTGTGAATTCCTAGTATGATGGTTAGATACTTCCTGACGCTTTATAAATTGGGATGAAATATAAGCTGGGAAACAGCCCGTCATGCACTTAAAAGCCATAGTGGCGCTACGATAGTACAACTGAGTTGCCACAGGAAGCCATCTTAATTCTTTTAAAAGTGGTGTAACATGATCATACTTTCGTGCTCCGCTAACGATACGACAGGCAAAGTTCTGTACAGATTGTAATTTGTTTATGTTTTTGCCAGTTGTATTGGCCCAAACATTCGAACAGTAAAATAACTTGCTGAAGACAAGAGCGTTTATTACAGTGATAAGTGTTTGCCTGTCCAGTACATGCTTAACACGATTTATCTGACCGAGGCGGGACATACACGAAGAGATCGTCTTAGTTATGTGTTCGTCATAAGAAAGGAGAGGGTCAAGAGTAACTCCTAGATCTTTTACTGTTTCGGAAGGGAATATATTTTTCCCAAGTAGGGATAGGCTAAACTCATTTAGGTCCGCTAATTTGTGTCTACTTCCGAAAACCATGAGCTTTGTCTTTTTTGGATTTAATAAGAGAAGGTTGTTGAAACACCAGTTTCGCACTTTCAAAAGATCCTCATTCATATCTTCAATGGCACCTTGCTTGTTTTGTAGATGGAAGGAAACGCTAAGTTTTGTGTCGTCCACATAACTATTAGATTTACATTTCTCTGGAACGGATGGCAAGTCATTAACATATATGCTAAACAAAAGAGGGCCGAGAATGCTTCCCTGGGGTACACCACTGACCACAGGAAGAAGTTCTGATTTAGTTGAGTGGATCTTTACAACTTGTTTTCTGTTTGAAAGATAACTGCGAAACCAAAGAAGTGTCATATTGGAGACTCCAACATCTTCCAATTTAGATATTAATAATTCATGATCAATGCTGTCGAACGCCTTGCTCATATCCAAAAAGACTGTAGCAGTAAGCTTCTTTTTGTCTATGGCATTGAGGATGGCATCTGTAGTTTGAATAACAGAAGTTTCGGTGGAGTGCCATTTCTTATTTCCACTCTGGTGTTGCGTTAATCTTTCCTTTTCTAATAAATAGGAAGAAAGCTGATTATAGGCAGCTCGTTCGCAGACTTTCGACAATACAGGTAATAATGAAATAGGTCTATTATTGATCGCTTGTTCATGATCTCCATCTTTAGGAATGGGTGTTACTTCTGCTATTTTCCAAACAGTGGGAAAGGTAGAAGTAACTAGTGAGGAATTAACAATAGATGTAAGTGTAGGCAGTATAGATGTCAGACAGTCTTTTATTACGCGAATGGGAATTTGATCAATTCCTGGGGCTTTATTGGAAGACATTGAGCTTATAATTTGACTAATTTCTTCACTGTCAGTAGTTCTAAATGAAAATTGTTGAAAACTGTTGAAAACTGGACTGACTGACTTGGTGAAAATAAAGTAAAAACAACATTGGTCATGAAAATATTGTCAAAACAATATAATTGTGTCGGCAAAGAAATAAGAAATTATTCTGCCAACCAGGCCAGCCTGGCTTCCATATTGATAGCCCCTATGGCTATAATCTATTCTTAGCCTCTCCCGCAGGCCTCTCTATGGGTTTTCAGTGGTGTAACTTTTGACCACTTGCCCTCGGGGCAAGTTGGACATGAAAATTAGTTGCCCTGAATAAAATTTAGCCACTGGGGTACCGAGGTAGGAGATTAAATTTAGGGGACAACGTGTCGACCCATTCTATATGGCTATATGTTATACTGCCTCAAATTTAAAAGATTGGTCCACAAAAAACAAAATTTGAATCAAGTACGTGCACTATAAAAAAATTATCTAACAATGAAAACATAAACTTAAAGATGCCCAGCTTTTTGTGGCAAGGCGACTTGCTCAATCTGGCAAGCAAGATAGAACGTTTACTGGCCCATCATGATATTCACTTGCCCCGGGCAAGAGTTAAGTTGCACCTCTGGTTTTATCCTGCAAATGGGTTCCCACCACCCAATTCCTCGGGTGAGATGCCTGCGGTGGAGGCTAGAGTTCATGCCACTGTTGTTAGTGAAACTCCATATCAAGAAACATGTATTGTAATGTTTCAAAATTAATTAAAGACAAAAAAATTGCTTGATTTTGTATATTATTTATTTTAATTCGACTTGCTAATTTGATAATTATTCTTTGACCATGCAGTGAATAATTTTAAAACTTAACTGTACAATCAAGTTACATGTAATACAGTATTATTAAAACTAGAGTTTGTGGGTTATTTCTTGGCTGTTTGTAGTACATATAACACATTCCCACAAAATTATAGAGAAAAGTCATTGTTAGTTCTGCCAGTTAGGTCTGGAAAGACCTGGTACACCACTACTCTTGCTATTTGAACATTCGAAATAACTTGTATTATTAATTCCTTGTCCACATGACTTACATCAGATTCGCCCTAAATGAGAAATGTCCATTATACATATAGAATAATGACAGTACCATATGAAGATACTGAAGATGTATTCAGATCCCAGACTCCATTTACAGGGAAATTTACTGTAGAGCAGAGCCCAAACTGTTCAATTAGACATTATTGATATGTTAACCCATTGAGCACCGTCCAGTGGCTCTCCAGTTCACAAATAAGTAAAATTGTCTGGTGTTAGACAGAGTAAAATAATAAAGTAGTGTGCATTAGGGCACAATGCAACCTACAGTAATGGTTAATTAATATGGTATGTCAAACAAATTAACTTGCTCAGTAATGTTCCACATATATAGTTTCTGGCATTTATAAGCCCGTCTAGGGCACAATGCAACCTAATGGTTAATTAATGGTATGTCAAATAAATTGACTCACTATAAGCCCATCTAATATGGCAGGAAATTTTACTTGTCAAGATGACAAATATTGTCCATTATAAATGGATTAATTGTATTTCTTAACTATCCCAAAGTTTCATTTTACATTACAATATATCAAAAATAATCTATGCAGATCTAAGAGAGAAAGTTCATAAATAATGTCTAACTGAACAGTTGGGCTCTACTCCAATACTGGGAACACCCACACTGAAGATTCTCAAACATGTTATCAGTCATCAATTTGATTGGTTAGTTGTCAGGGCACAATTTTGGTCAATGCCATGGGTAGTGAATATGTATCGGCTGTCTGGCACGTACACACCCTTCATTCCTACAAATACCTAACTACAACTCTAATGGCTGTGCGATTTGTGGAACTCTGACAAACTATGTTGGGCAGATGTTGACCATGTAAACCCAGGGATGGATTTACTGGGGGGTGTGGTGTGCGGGGGTTGTGCACCCCCCTAGCCCTGGACAGAGTGGGTGCAGGGGGGTGCTATTTTTCATGATAAAGCAAAAAATTATTAGAGACAAAATGAGATACAGCAATTTGAGTAATAACATGATAAGCGAACTGTGAACAACAATTACAATTCAAATACAGTAGTCAAGCAAGACTTATCAGTAGTGAAGCAAGTTGATGGGTGGACGGCACACATGACCGACACAACTCGGCACCACAGCCAGCAGAGCACACCCCCCCCCCCCTACCAGATCATGCTGGATCCATCCCTGTGTAAACCTCCGAATGCTTGTGTTCATTCATTAGCATTTTTGATGGACTGAGCTGTTGAAATCCCTTTGCTGCATTAAAAAATACCTGTCCAAAAATAAGTCCATGGGCTAACACAGGGGGGAGGGCGTATATTTGGGGTCTGTCATTGGGGCTTATATATTCAGAGGTGAGAGGTTTATGGTTATTGGTTTGAACTTGATATCTTTGGCCTAGCAAAGCAATTTTTCACTTGCCTGTTGTAGAAGTGACATTTAATATAACTACACAGTATTAAACTTGTAATAATATAGATAGAGTCACACATACGACAAAACAATCCTATTTTTACTGGCTCGTATTTATGAATTCACAATTGTATGAATCGTTAGATCGATTGTGATCAACGTGGATTTCTTAATACGCTCTCGTTTGATATAAACGTACGTTAATGAATACTGTGAGTGACATTTTAGAGGGTCCTGAAGGGGTAAAATGGGAACTGGGATTTGCTTATTTTTGGGTGGGAAAATGGGATTTTATGCACTGGGACTGGGATTCATCAGCAAAAAAACAATAGAAAATGGGAATGGGATCAAGATTTGAGCAGGACAGCCACTGAGATGATGGGATTTGTGCTCTGGGACAATGGGATTTACATGGGCGTACGGGAAGGAAAAAATTAGGGGGGGGGCGGAAAAAATTTGCCCCACTTTTTCGGATTGTGCCCGCGTTGTTGCCCGACTGTGAAGCGAATATTGCCCGACTGGCTTTGTTTGTCCAACAAACTGGGGGGGGGCTCCCCCCCCCCGCCCGGTACGCCCATAGGGATTTAGTCAAAATTTGGGCTGGGAAATGGGAATACGACCCCCCCCCCTTCAGGACCCTCATTTTAGTTACAAGCCTGGAGATGGCTGTCAAAATTCAGCGGAGTTTATGTGTCAGAATGAAATGACATGTGAAAACACTTAGCAAGATTGAGGCATCAAATGCGATATTATTTGTATTTCAGCCGTTGCTACTTGTTACGGAATGGCTATGTAAAGCTATATATAGATTGTGTTAAACGTGGTTAAAAATATTTTGACTTTGTTGTTTCTGATGACATTTGCCGACTCTCGACTTTTTACTCTCGATCGACTCTCAACTTTTTACTCTCGACTCTCGACTTTTTACTCTCGACTTTTTACTCTCGACTCTCGACTTTTACTCTCGACTCTTGACTTTTACTCTCGACCTTTACTCTCGACTCTCGACCCTCGACTTTTAGATACACTCGTTCTGCAAGTGTTATGTAATTCGAAGGTCGCGGGTTCAAGACCCAGCCGCGGAAGATAACATCTTTCTGCTTGCGCTGGGTATGGAAATTATATAACACGCACTCTAGAACATTTTCATATATATATATATATATATATATATATATATATATATATATATATATATATATATATATATATATATATATATATATATATTATTATTATTATTATTATTATTAATGGTTTAAGATACACACCTTCGCAATAGATTGAATTATGGTGCGTTTACAAAATTGATACGCTATATATTTACATATATAAAAAATTTAGTTGCATGCATCAAGTCTATAAATCTTATTGACTTGCATTAAAATCATCGTAATTAAGTATTACGCTTAAGTTTCTTTACTATAACTATTATATAGAGCTACTGTACTGGGAAAAAAGCTACGGCGATATCTTTCTGTTCGGCAGTTTATTGTTGTTAATGTGTTAGAGTTTCTAAGTTCATAATCATTTGAACTAGCCCTGGACAATGGAACATATTTTGACAGTGGTCCTTCAATTTCTATGCGTTTCATAGTATTGAGGCAATGTCGTTCTCGCCTTTCATCCAATTTGGAACACCCAAGTTGTGCTAATGCTTCCCTATAAGAGTAACCCGGTAAAATGATCCTCAGCGCTCGTTTTTGCACTCGCTCTAAATCATCGGCGAGGTACAAAGGTAGGGCATGATGCCATACCACACAACAGTACTCCAGAACCGATCGTATTAAGGCAAAGTATATACTCAATAAGTCTTCTGCAGGGACACCATCTCGTCGTAATATGCGGATGATATATAAACGTTTAGAAGCCTTGGATACAACTGATTCTATGTGTGCATTCCATTTAAGATCGTTTTGGATAACCAGACCTAGGACTTTATGAGACCGCACAACCTCAAGCGCATGACCGTCAATCAACAATGGTGATAGATCAGGTGATTCCCGCAGAAAGCAAACGCGTAGTTCTTTGCACTTTTTGGGGTTAAGTTTCATAAGGTTGCACGAAGCCCAAGAATTTATAGTATCAATACAGAACTGAAACTTTGAATTGCTGCCCTTTGTGATATTTTCAGATGTTGATTTGTCATGCACAAATTTCCAAATATCCGTTGCGTGTGGTTGCACATCGAGATCATTTATCATCGCCAAAAACAGAATTGGACCGAATTTAGTTCCCTGCGGGACACCCGCATTCATTGGCAACCAGTCTGACGTTTTCCCTCCAAGTTTGACCCGATGCCGGCGGTTAGTTAGGAAGTTGATAATCCAAGGCAACAGGGACGATCTAACGCCTAGGTCCAAAAGCTTTAATATTAGTAAATTATGTCCTATACGGTCAAACGCCTTTTCGAAGTCAAGGAAACAAAGTCTAAAATGTTTTTCAGGACACTCTAAGTTGCACAACCAAGTGTGGATCATGTCTAAAACACAATAAGTTGTGGATGTTCCTTTCAAGCATCCAAACTGCTTGGGGTCGATCTTGTCTTTAATATCGGTTATCATCCACCCGACCATGAAATCTTCAAGAACCTTAGCCAGGCAGGGTGTCAGTGAGATGGGTCTGGTGTCAGCTTCACAGGTAGGAGGTTATGATTTTGGAACTGGTATGATGTCTGAATCTTTCAATATTGCATGCACGATTCCAGATGAAAGTGATTCGTTGAAAATAGTTGCAACAGGTTCGGCTAATTCATGGGCAAACTCTTTCAGGATACGACAGGGGACTTTATCTGGGCCGTGAGCTTTAAAAGGTTTAATTTCTAAGAGCTTTTTAGATACTTCATGTGGTTGAACTGTTGGAGCAGGTTCTTTGGCTGGAAGAAATGCCGGGAGTGTCGCTAAATTAAGTGGTGGAATATCACTATTCACCGATGCATAGAACACATTCAAAGCTCTAACTAATTCTGATTGATCCAGAGTTCTTCTATCATGTTCAAGCGAGAAGGAGTTCTTTCCAGATTTTCCTGCCATTTTATTTAAGATTTTCCACCACATACGGCAGTCATCCTTCTTTAAATGTTGTACCTTTGTTTTGTAGTACGATATTTTCCTCGCATTGATTTCATGTTGGACCTTATATTTCAACGATTTCCACAAGATTGTATTATGACCATGAAACGCCTTTTGTCGATATTTGATAAGCTGTTTTATTGCAGGTGTTATCCATGGTTTATCGGTGTGATGACGTGTTGACGTCTGTTGTGGGAAGATTCGGTCAATACTTTCTGTTAACTGGTTTGTAAACGAGATTGCCAAGCTATCAACAGTAGGGTTGGGTTCAAGGTCACAAAACCAATTATGTGTGGTAACCCATCTTCCGAAAGCATCTATTCCTGATCTGGGATAGCGCCGTACTAAGGATTTAACAGGTTTTGCTTGGATGTTGTGGCTGGGAATGCTATCGACTGAAGATAGCTAGTGTACAATATTATGGTCACTGGATCCTAATGGAGCAAGGACATTAGGGCGGTCATATAAATTATACAGGTTTGTAAGAATAAGATCGAGTATTGCTGATTCTCTAGTGGGTTGGTCAACAACTTGTTTAAGATTTTGACTGGTGGTCAAACTGCGAGTTTCAAGATCATTAAAATCACCCATAATTACTAGACCAAGGTCAGGGTGGTTATTTCTAAGTAAGTCAATAGTGTTAATTAAATGTTCATTAAGATCACTGTGTTCCGATATTGTCAGACCAGGTGGGTGATACACGACACAGATAACGATACCGGATAGAGGTCTAGGGAGGCGTTTCGGTCGAATGCTCAGCCATAAGCATTCTAAATTCTCACTTTCTAGGTCTACCCGTCGTATACAGGGGATGTCTTTTTTAATATAAGCACAAACTCCGCCACCTCGTCCAATTGCGCGATCTTTACGAAATAAATTGTAATCGTTAATTGACAATAAGCTGCTGTCTATGTGTTCGTGTAACCATGATTCAGTTATCGCGATAATGTCAATGGGCTTGAAACTTAGTAATGCTGTCAATTCGTCCAGCTTTGGAAGGAGTGAGCGGGAATTAAGTAAAATGAAACATGGGAGTATTATTTCTTTGTTAACCTTTACAAGGTTGCATGGTTTAAAGTTGTAATATGGATTAGGTTGGAGGAGGGAAAATAGCAATTCTTGCGCTTCTTGTGCTGTTTAAACGTTGTAGAACGATCTGTAATATGGACGGAGATGTTCGTTCTATTTTTGGCTTCATTTGGTGTCCATATTTTATGTAAGGTTAAAGAGGACTGTGGACTTATTCCATCCGGGATGTATAGGAAAGAGGTCTCGCTATTCAAAAAACGAGGGGTCACATTGGTATAGTCAATAATCTCAGTTGGGTAAAGTAAAAAACAAATTCCGAAAATACAGGACATCTTGAGAATTCAATATATAATTCAAAACAAGACGCAGTTTGAGACTGTAAATTTTCGACTTTATTTCAAAGTCATCTTCAGACAGAATGAAATACAATACTTTACAACACATATATATATATATACAACGCAGAGAGAGAGAGCATCTGTCATGTGGGCGGAAAGAAGGATTATCCAAGCGAAGCGAAACATAATAAAGAAAATGGTAATAACTGAAAATGGAATATTTAGCTTATTTACAACAATGTTTAATATATTAGAAGGATTGAGGTAGAAAGGGAAAGACCCGACATGTAGAAGAAGATTAAGTTAAAGTGTTATGTGAACAGTTGTAGTTCTTTACTAGCTTTAAGTCCAGTGTTAAGAAAAGGTTTGTTGTGTTTGATAAGCAGTGCTTCAAGAAAAGCAAGAATGTTGTAGTTGTTAGATTTTGTAATGTGAAGTATTCTGTAGCTGTTGAAAACAAGGTTTTCAATAGGAGAAGAGTTGTCAGAAGGCGAAGGAAGATCGTTGAGTAATGTGAACTGGTCTTGTAAAGTAGCTAAGAATTGAGCATGTTCACACTCAGAAAAATGTTGGCCCACTGCACTAGAAAGGCATCTTTGTGCCATGCCAATATAGGTTTTGCCACAACCAGGGCAAGCGACCTCGTATACAAGATTACTACGAGATAAAGGAGGAAGTTTATCTTTGTTGGAAACAAAATAAGAAAGCTTTTTAGTGTCATAAATAGTGATGAACTTAACCGGTTTAGAAAGAAATCTTTGTATTTTATTAAGACATGATTTTAAAAGAAAATCGCCACGGTTTCCGAGATAAGGAATACGAATCCAAATTTTAGGCAACATATCATCATCCGTGTCATGATTAACGGCATCGGAAGTAGAACTATCAATAAATTTGGTTTTAAGCTTTTTAATAAAAAAGTTTCTAACGCCAATAGGATAACCATTCCAAGACATAAAATATTTGATAGTCTCAATTTAATTGTTGAAAAGTGTTTTCAAACTGCAAATTTTAAAAGCCCGGTAGAACAGAGATTTTACCCATGCAGTTTTGCGATGAAAAGGCTCGAAACTTGAAAAATGTGAATACTGACCGGTGTGGGTGTCCTTACGATAAATGTCAGTACCATCAACCGAGACTTTTATGTCTAAAAAATGAACTACGCCATCGGGAAATGTATCAACTGTGAAATTTAAGTTCGGATCGAAACTATTGAAATTAGCTAAATAGTGCCCCTGGCAGCAAAAATTATTATTGGCGATATTAAATCTAGGTATGATTTCTAGCGTATCCGTGAAAAAATTTTCAATTTGGTCAAATCGTTCCACTTTTATGGCGGTTTAAAGTTGGCAAAAATGCCCTTTATGATGGATCTTGTCCGTCATCAGAAAAGCCTGGAACGAGCTATTTTTGTGACGTCACCCAAGGTACTCGTCAAAATAAGGCTTTCGTTCCATATGCAAATCTATAATAATAGTGTTGGCTATATACATACAGTGCGCTCATTTTCGGGAAGTAAAAAAGATGGTTAATAGCTGTGTAGCTGCCAATTGCACGAATAAATCGTGTCTAAGTTCGGGTATAAGTCTCCATACGATACCTTACTACAACGACGATCGACCTGAAGCTAAAAGAAGAAGAAAAATATGGGTTGACTTCATAAAGGCAAAACTCGTCTTCGTGCCTTCGAAAGCTTCGACTCTTTGTTCAGCGCACTTTAAGCCTGAAGATTACGAGCGAAGATTCTCAATTTTACCTGGGCAAACGAAACCAAACTACCCCAAATTAAGAAGCGACGAACTTGGTATTTGTGTGTATCCAAGTATACATTCTGAGGCGAGGGAAACATCTAGAGAACCAGTCGTGCAAAGTCCTAGAGATAGACGGATGGTGAGTCTGTTTATAACAAGCTTTTGTTTTGAATGTTCAGAAAAGATCCATGCATTTTACCGAACTGTTTCAATTATTAATGACATTTCATAGCCTGATATTGTAGTTGCTGTACTTTTTACTAATTTCTAATAAATCTTTTCATAAAAAGTTGACAAAAGCTAATTTGCAAGGTGAGAGAAGCACGTGTGATGGCGAAGTATCGAACATGGACGACTTAGCGCAAACACCGAAGTCGAGTAAATCAGGTAATTAAAGTTAAATTTTTGGACTTTAAAATGCCGTTTTATAATAAAAATGTATTTACATTAATTTTATAAACAAAGTTTACGGATATTATAATTAAATTTCGGTGTAAAGATATTAAAAAGGGTCTGCCACTGAGTAATTTTGATGAAGACTGCAAGTTTACTAGTCGAAACGTTTAATCAAAATGAAAAATCATTGTCTTGTATTTTTTAAAAAGGGTCATTGTAGGTTTTATTTTCTCACTGAAACGACTTGCCGACATCTAAACATCTTACTAGATACTGATACTCAAAGCAAGAAAAGAAAACGCCAACTGGAAAAGCTTGATGAGAGTCAACTCGAGGAAAGTCACATTGATGAGCCAGCAAATGTAAAGTTTCCTACATAAAGTTTTACATCTATAATATAATACTTGCACTCCAGCTGAATCTCCCTTTATGATATTCATGCTACAAAATCATTGTTTTTTTATTATTTTCTTAGTTTGTCATTGCCAGTACAGAAATGGAATCTCTTCGAGAAACCAATAGAAGGCTAAAAAACAAAATTATTTCCTTGAAAACATCTGCCAAAGGAAATAAATCCAAAATGAAGCTAATGAGACGCAGGGGTAAGACTCATCGAGAAGAAGCCATCAACATTGGGGGGGGTTGTCATGTTTTGACCAACATTTCCTAGGATTTTGACCAAGTCGTACAAATTTTGCCCAAAAATGTTGTCGGGGGGGGGGTACAATTTTAAGGAAATATCAGTTCCGTTTTGACCAACTTTGGGCAAATATCAGTTCCATTTTGACCAACTTTGACCAACGTTTGAATTATTGGGGGGGGGGGGTGTTACCCCCCCACACACACACCTATAGCGACATCCCTGGTTAAGCGTGTTACATAAAGAAGCAATGCTTTATTTTTATGCATATATTATTTAGTACTCCAGCTTGAACAACGCTTAGAAGAACAGTCGGTGAAGAAGAGTGCTGAAGAATCTGAAATGGAAGGTGGCAATATTGAGAGTGAGGATGAAGCATCAGAGGCGGAAAACGAGTTCTACGAACATGATCCTGCCTATGAGGTAGATGATGTCGACATGGAAGAAGATGATGAAGATTTCATAGAAGAAGATATAGGGTGAGTAATTTAATAACTTGGCACCGCCTTTTGCAATAACAAGCATCACAACTATTGTGTATTATTACAATGTTGCACTTTTGCTTGTTTCAGGTTGTTGCAACACAATGGAAATCTACGGTCAGAACCAAAGCACATTGTGTTTCTGTCACAGCTTCTGCTACTTTTCAACTTTTGCCATTCATGCAAAGCTGATAATCCATTGGTGGAAGCAAAAGCTGTTGGAACTGCAGCAGTTGTAACCTCAACATGCCACAACCCAAATTGCCCACAGAAAACCACAACATGGTATAGCCAGCCACTAACACCTGGGCGTACAAAAGCACGTGCTGGAAACTTTCTTTTGTGTATGGCAGTCTTGCTTGGTGGTGGCTCTTTTACTAAAATACGCCAAATATTTGCACATATGGGTCTTTGCCCATAGGATTTCTAGACAACTCAATAGGGGGGGGGCTACATTAAACGGAATGGCCCATTGGTTGATACAATATATTTGAACTATATAATTTATAAATTATGTTGTACTATTATAGACTGTGCTATTCCCCACCATTTTCCTTCACTGGAAGAAGTACCAGTCATTGTTGTTGGAGAAAGCCAAGAAATTAAGAAATGGTGTTGTTCTGGCAGGGGATGGTCGCCATGACAGCATGGGTCATTCTGCCAAATTTTGTGCATATACAGTTTTTTGTTGCACTCTTGGACAAATCATTCATTTTAATCTTGTGCAGGTAGAAATACTGTAAATAATATTAAAAAACTCATTAATAATTCATGACGAAAACACAAAGAAAAATCATAAGCGTGTCGTATCTGTATATGTGATACAGATTCATGTTGATTTACATAAACTTTAACTTTGATTTTCTCGGCTTAGACAACGTTTATTTTTAAAATTACTTCGCCAATGAACTCATAAGATGAGTCGTTTTTTAAGTCATTTACAACATTCGCGTCCGTGTTGTATCGGATATACAAACTCTCGCCTTCGGCTCGAGTTTGTATATCCGATACAACACGGCCGCTCATGTTGTAAATAGTACCTATAGCTTCACTTACTAGTTACTAGCTCTTGATTATTCAATGACACTAACAACTGTTATTGCCTTTTAGAGAAATCAGGCAGGGAGTAGTCCAGCAATGGAGTTTATGTCTTTTAAGTTATCCATGGACTTCCTTATCAACTATGGCCTCACCATTACTACCTTCATATCAGACAGGCATACTTCAATTGCAAAGTATATGCGGCAAGTTTTGAAACAAATTACCCACTATTTTGATGTGTGGCACTTGAAGAAAAGTGAGAATATTTCCAATTTTTTAAATAATATAATTCATGCTAATGCCCAGACTGCTTAGGAGTTAGGATGAGAACCCACTGAGCTATAAACATCACTGAATTACTGATGAGTTAGTTTATGATAATTAAATTAAGCCTTCAGGAGTTCAGGCCCTTCACTATTTTCCTTCAATTCTTGTTGACATTGTTTTCTGTTTGAAAATTTTATTGCTTGCAGAAATAAGAAAGGTGCTGTTCAAAATTGCAAAAGAGAAAGACTGTGAAGCACTGAATGAATGGATAAAGCCATGTGAAAACCACCTGCACTGGAGTGCTACTTCAACCTATGATGGCAATGGTTTGGTAATCTGGGCAAAATTCAAGTCCTTTCTACAGCACATTGTCAACATCCATTCAGGGCACAGTGATCCACTGTTT